TAAGCTTGTACATTTCCATGGCATTACCATGACTTTTATTATGATTACCTCCCATAATATTCCATCATGGATATTATGTAATCTAACTGTTTCTCTGTGGTTGGGCATTTAAGGATTTTATTTTCCTGTGGTGTACGAAATACTCCCATAGGTGCTTTGTATATAAAATTTGTATCAGTACCTGTGAGTTTTATCTTCAGTGAGATTCCTAGAAGTGTTATTTTTGATTCCAATGGTATGTTTTCATGACATTTTCTTTTCTTCCTGCCTTCTTTCATTTTATTTTATTTTACTTTTTTATTTTTTTACATAATTCTAAATTATACTTGGGAAATGGTGGTGCACTAATTTAAAGCATCTCTTGCCTAGGATGAGAGGGCTCACCTATCTGTCAGTATGGGAGATGAATGGTTTTTATATTTGTAAAGTTCCTGGTTTAAAAAGGTATCTTTAATTTGCTTTCCACCACTTGTTTTTTGGGTAGGGTGTGTACCATAGTGATCTAGGAGGTGAGCTTCAGAGCCACACAGACCTTGTGTCCAGGCCTCACTCTGCTACCCTGGGTCCTCTGGGCTACTGAGAGACCCTTAAAGAGATAAGGCTCCATATCTTTGCCTATAAAATGCAGAAATTCTCAGCATGTACATGGTAGGTTTGTAAGGCTCTTTCAAGAAAAGCACTAATGTGGACCTAGCACATAGTATATTCTTAAAAAATGGTATTTACTATTTTTCTCTGAAGTTGAAACTTTTAAATATAAGCCTTAGCATTGCTTTCTTTTGTGGGAGGTAAATTGGTTAATGCCCTTTGTACATATTTCTATTGGGGATTATTTTACCTTTTTTTGTAGTCCATTTTACTCCGTTATTTTTATCAGTTTTTGAGAACATTTTGTTGATTCTGGCTGCTTCTCAAGTAGAACATCAAACTATGCTTATTTTGTCTTCTTTCTGATAATTTTCCTTTGGGTTTGTTTCATGAATCATATTTGCCTTGCCAGTGCTATCAGACTAAAGTTATACAAGGATAAGATGACAGATATTTTTATCTTCTTCCTCTTTGGGGATTAAAGGGGCTGCATCCAATTTTATATTGACTATGATAATAGTTGAAGTAGATAATTCTTTCTTTTTTTTCCTTTTTAGGAGACAGAGTCTTACTCTGTTGTCCTGGGTAGAGTGCCATAGCACCTTTGCTCACAGCAACCTTAAACTCTTGGTCTTGAGGGATCCTCTTACCTCAGCCTCCTGAGTAGCTGGGACTACAGACACACACTACCAGTGGAGATGGGGGGTCTCACTCTTGGTCCAGCTAGTTGCGAACTCCTGAGCTCAAGCAATTCACCTGCCTTCGTCTCCCAGACTGCTAGGGTTACAGGCATAAGCCACCACACCCAGCCAAGAAGTAGATAATTCTTATCTCTTATCTTAAGGAAGTATAGGATGTATCATTTCCTATTTCACTGAAGGGCACTTATCAGGAGTGGGCTATTCAGTTATTTTGTGATTAGCATATTTTCTGAGTTAAAATTATCCTGCATATCTTGGATAAACCTCCAGGGCATTATTGATTTATTGTTTCTTTTTTATTTAGTAATTTTTGTATAGGGCATAAATATAATTTTACTTTTTCATGGCTCTGAGCAGTAACTTTCAACTGAAGAATGGAATGTTATTACTATCTCAGTGTGGGCTTTGAAAATGGAGCTAAATTTGTATGCTTCTTTCTGTATTTGATGTTAACGATTATTGAATGTTAAAGATGGAAGTGAACACCAAGTCTCTGGTATATTCCCTTTCCTTCCCTTCCCTTATACAGGGAGGGAAGTGATATCAGAAACCCAGTGATTTGCCCAGGGCCCCAGAGTTGGGACTGTAAACCCCATCTCCTTCCTACCATGGGCCTTTTCCTTTGAATGTCCTGGTTGATTTTCCCAGTTCAGTATTTAAAAAAAAAAAAAAAATGACTGCATTTGATCCTCTTGACACAACAAAACCCGTGCACATGGATTTCTGCTCTGCTCCAGATGATGTACTGTGGGCTAGCCAGACTGGCAGAGACCTTGCCCTTGTGTCTTGGGAGGGGGAGGAACTGATACAAAATAAATTCTTAGGGACATTACCAGTGTGCTTTATTAATGGGCTTTCTTAGGTTGCCATTTTCACTTGCATTAAGAGGCCTTAACCATTCTGGGGTGGAAAATGTGTGGGGATGGTAAAGTAGAGTCTTGGTTAAAGGAGGTCAGGGTGGGATTTAGGACCTTTCCCAACCTACTGACCTGCTAGCAACCTCTGTCTTTTTTTCAATTCAGGGAGGCAGCCTTTCTCTGTGGGCTAAGCCATTTTGGGTGCAAAGTCACAAGTCTCCCTGTCCCCAAGCTAGGGGATACCTCATGGAGCAGGTGGTTGGCAGACACTTGTTTGCATCTTGATGTTAAGGCTGTGGCTCTTGCTTTGGGGTATCTCCTCTTTTATTGATACATAATTTAGACATTTTCTTGTTTTTTACCATTGGTTTTTTCTAAGGGCACTTCTTGCTGATCTAGAACCCAGGGAACCAAAAATGGGTTGCTTCAGTCTCATGTAATGGCTGCTTTTGTTTATGCTGATGTGAGCTACAAAGTCCTGGAGATATTTCTGTGTTGCCAAAGAATCCCTTATATAAAGAAGAATTTTAGTAATGTGTATTGTGCTTTCATTAAAAATTAGTGATCTTGGCTCGGTGCCTGTGGCTCAAGTGGCTAAGGCGCCAGCCACATACACCTAAGGTGGTGAGTTTGAATCCAGCCCGGGCCGCCAAACAACAATGATGGCTGCAACCAAAAAATAGCCAGGTATTGTGGTGGGCACCTATGGTCCCAGCTACTTAGGAGGTGGAGGCAGGAGACTCGCTTGAGCCCAGGAGTTGGAGGTTGCTGTGAGCTATGATGCCACGGCATTCTACCCAG